TGTGAAAACTTCGATGCACGCAGTTTCTTCACCTCAGTCGCACTAGTTTCGATCTTGTCTTTCGTTTTTCATTATAATCTGGATTACCCAAAATCATGTTAACGGTGCCTTTAAGTGACGAATATCCTGCTGAACTCTATCCATCAGACGCTTCATATGCAGTGAGCGAATCAGCTATGACAATTTATTCCACGCTGTTTCAGATCAAAGTTGATCCACATCAACTTCCACAATTCATGACGGCCAGTATCCCGTACAACGACCATCAGCATATGGATAATGCAACGCTATCCTCTTTGATAAAAAGTATGCTTAGTATCTTTTCACCATTCAATCTACCAAGAAAGCAGAAAGAGCTTGGGCGGTCAAAGCAGGTCTCCCACCAGGATTTAATTACCGTGCCATATGTATGGTAGCAATCCCATTTGGCACTACCCCACCCCCGCCCATCGACGATCATGTCACTTTCTATATAAAGCAAAGGTAGCCTAGTGGCTAAGAGCGGAACGCTCGTAGCTATACTGGGTGTGTGGCGCATCCTACTAGTGCTTGATCTAATCGAGGTTTACTTACTTTCAAGGGTATCTATTGTATCACCTCCACTCTAATTTCACCAATGACAGCCTTAGTTCCTCCTTATTTCTCGCCTTTGAAGGAAGGACACAGGTGGGTAGGAGTAAATGCCCGGTTCAGGACTGCCCCCACTATCGGTCTGAACATCGCAAGATTCTTTCATTTTATAATTTTCTATCATTACCATTATCACTATTTTGTCAGCTTCATTAGCCTTTTTTTCATTTATTCCTTTTTCAGTTCTAAGAGCGATTAACGACGACAGCTCTGTAGTGCCTACACTACTGACCGACTACATACTGACGGGTATATTTTAACCTTCCCTTTTTTGTCTATCCTACCAAAATGTTAGTTCAAAATGCTATTTCAGTAGTGTGCCCAAAGACCGTTGTCTGCTAGTCCGGTGCTTCATGATCTCCATAGATCTCTCTATCGCCTTGCACAAACATACACACCCTCACACGTCCGTTACCGTACCTATCCAAATCCGTACCGTATGGCGAGATGTTCTTCAAACTGCCTACCCCCCAACGTTTACCATATGCTTGTCTGTATTATGCTTATAGTTATCGCTTTTTTGTTATTAACTATGAGATAAGCTACAAGCAAGCTTAGGCATATGAAATAATCACGCTACTCATTACTGTTGTTTAATCAATAGCTATTAATACCATTGAACTCATATTTCCATGCCCATTCTGCTTACATTGTTTCTGTTCTATCCAATTTTATCCGTTGAAACCGTCTTACATCGGTTCTGTCGTTAGTCGAACCATACTCGGATACTTTTTTGAAGGTAAAAGTTGCGTTTATGCTCAGCTAACTTGCGGCTGCAGGCGACTACTTCGCAGGCAGCGGCTGGAAGCTCAGCTAGTATGTATGGAGAGTCCGCCTGATGGAGTCAAGTATTATTAATATCCGAGTTTGATTTAATATTTAAATGGTTGATAGCCGCTGACATATGTACCCGATGAAATAATCACACGCTATGCATAGATACTATGAAACGATTAGGATTTCCTGCACACAACACCATGTTGTTTTTTTTCGTGTGTATGTTGTTTATACGTGAGCGTGTGTGTGACTTCCTACTTATTTATCACCGTCAATGTCTTCCATCTGGCCGAGTCTGTAAAAGGATAGGGCTCCGATGCGAGCGGTCGCGTTGCGACTGTTTGAACTATAAACGTGTAGGAATCGGTAGACCCTCAGACTTAATGGATGGAAGACACGGTCTGCATGTTTTCACCTTCTCTTTAAAAGCATCTGTAGAGAAGGCAAATCTCGTCACATTGGGATTTTAGGTCCCCTTTCGAGCTATCATCTCCGAGTCGTTACTATTCCACATCGTCATTTAGGGAGACATCTCAAAAATCTCTTCCTTTGGGACAATCTGGCGATGTGAAGTGGTTATATACGATACACTACAGTCACATTCGAGCCATATTTCTATGTTGTTGCAATCGTTTCCTATGCATCACTGTCGTTGTACATTTTTGGAAATAAATTTATTGCAGCTTATTAGAAATCTCTACTATCATTTCTGAAGCGAAACTATGACAAATAAAATGTAAAACATGTATGATAGAAAATGACTCTAATATAGATATTGGTTATGAAGCAAACGAAAAACGAGGAGAGCTATCCGAACGAAGGCATAGTTCTAGATGAAAAATTTTTACTGAAATTCTCTGGGTAAACCGGTGGTTCATAAAGGTAACATACAGGACATACCGGGTCGAAAAGGGCCTAAATAGGACGTAACAAGGGCTCAAAAATCGGCCTGGCCGGCGCTCACACCGAAAAGTAGCCGTGTTGTAATGGTTTTGTAGAGGCTGCTTAATGCACAATGGAGAAATTTCAAACGGCTGGTCAGAAAGCATCGTAATATGTCGTATAACAACGAATGACAAAAACAACCACAGAATAGCAATATTAAAGTTTTAGTAGAGAATAATAATAATGAATAATATGAAGTTTGCAACAGCACAACATTTTGTTTCACTGCAGTCCCATCCCCATAACGAGAGTAATAGGCAATTTTTGGCATTTCTCGTTAACTGAATCCAGTTCTTTATGCAGTTGCGCACGAACAATCTCGTCCAGGTACTTCCATACCCTTCCGTCGACGTAATCTCATACAGCCCCTTATTTTTACCAGTATTTTGTAAACCCGTAGGCCTCTGAGCCCGCCGATACTCGCGCTTTCCCAGCCAACACTTTGGCTTCATTCGGCACAACTGAGTGTGGTGCGATTCACGCGTCAATATAATGAGGTCATCGGACAAAACGCGCTAAAACACATGCCTACCATCATAACGCTTAAGAAATAAGAACTTATGAGTAGAATAAGTAAAGAAACGACCAACTATGCACGTTTACAGAAGGATTGCGCATACTAGGATCAAAAAATTCTAAGGTATTCTTATTTTGAACGTTTGACAAGTAAATTGTTGACCTATGAGGTGAATTCTCATTCTCGAAGGGCCCTTTCCGCCATAGTAAAGAGATTTGCTCTATTCATGGTGGAGCCGAGGACTACGGCAAATTTATTTGGTCCATTTCATCAGAAAGGTACTGAAACGATGCTGCGTGCGCGAAGAGCTCTACAGGAGACACGCGAATCGGCGCCCCCCGGCACAACTAATTCCGATTCCGATTTTCCTTCAGGCCCCATTTCTGTGCTTTATAAGGAACCTACATCAGCACTTGCTGCTCTGGTCTTAGAAAGGAATACTTCCATTTGCTAAAGTGGATAGGCTTACTTATGGGCATTCTTCAGTGAAAACTATTCCCTTCGACACATAAGCAAACATACTATGGTTTAGCCTTACTCAAACGCCTTTCGAGCGTATTTCCCTAAATTTTGATCGAGATCACGCTTAATGTAGGAAGATTCATTATCCGTCATTCTTTTCGTGCACACAAGAACTCTACTTAGCGTTCCGAAAATTGGCTAGGTAGAATTTGTTCCAACATTCTGACTAGAGAAGAGGTTACCTCCTCTAGTTTAAACTACAAAACCAGAGTTAAACCGCATCGAAAACCCGTCATGATTCATATGTACAACAAAGATCAACAAAAAACTCAACGATCGAATGGTCAACTAGCTAATAGAGCTGCAGCATGTCGCTGCTTCAATTGCTCCTTATCGAAAATCTTCAGTGGCAGATCGCCGTGTACTGTCGCTATTCCTAACCTCCTTCTCGGCTTCGAAGGTACCACTGAACGGGAGCATGTCCCTATAGGGAAACGAGCATGTGCATATACTGACTCTGGTATGTCCGGGTAACGATGAATATTCGAGGAGCTAGAACTAGTATTTTGTGAGTTTAATGGAAATAGCGCTCAGCCCATTCATCCCATCAATTCGCCACATTCAAGATAGGCACACCATTTCGAGCTATCTCTGAGAGAGAGAACTTACTTTTCATTCAGGCACAATATACCATTCCATGCAATCATCTCCGCATTATCAGTACATAAGCGAGGTGGTACCTTGATTACTTCCAGACCATGAGAACTCGTTAGTTTTGATATTCCTTAAATAACAGGGCTATAACTATTTCCTTCCCATTAAAATCACAAATTATCTAACAAATATCCTTGAACTAACCATTGCATATGTAAGCATTTGCCGCTACACCACCACTAAGCACAAGATGCCCTATACTTGATAATTCTCCATTGCTATGAAGATATTCGAGGCAATTATGAAGTTTTGATACAAGATGGCGCGTTACGTGGTGCTGAAACAACTTGCAAACTATCGCTCAGAGGAAATTTCACAACTGACTGAAAATCTGGATTTTGCCTAACAATCGTAATATCGGCCCAATAGACCGGGAGCAAATCAACTTAACGCTCAGGTAATGACTGGCTACAACCCCTGAAACATAAATATTAGGTTGATGCATAATTATTGCGGATTTTTCGCGGCTTTTTTTCTCTCGATAGAACTTGAATGTTGAGTCCGGGTTTTTTCTAAAATGATCAACTCGATTTTCTCTACAAGAATATACTCAAAAAACCATCCGCATAT